TTTTTTTATGTCATTAGGATACGTGTCGATATCGAGGCACTAAAACACTGGAAATTGTCTAAGACGACCCACAAATGTCGAGGAGAAAAGTGGAAAGCAACACTCCACCCCTTACACACACACACACACACACACACACACACACACACACACACACACACACACACAAGCAAACTCACCCCTCCCCTCCCCACACACATACATACACACACCAACACGCACAAGCGCATAGATTCACATTCACACATGGGCCTCTTGTAACAAGACTAGACTCCTGTAAACAAATTCCCAATACTGCAATTTCTTCTTCAAGCCAGACAAAAATATTTTAAACAAACAGTAGATCCTATATCATCACAGAATGAGGTTTCTTATAGTTTGTTATGTTTCCCTTCAGCGTCCCTTTTTACTATCCTTGTTTTTTTCTTTTCTCAACAGCTGTTCACTCGTGAGATCACGCCCGCAACAGGAGGGAGAGAGATGGAGAAATAGCGAGAGAAAGAGGACGAAGTAAAGAGAGATTACCGCCGCATTCGTGCCTTATGTCTCACAGATTTGTCACACAAGCCTGTCGAGAGGATTATCTCAAACACTAAGTTGACATTTCAACACGGTGCTATGAATAAACCCTGATGTTTTCGCAGCTGGTAACAGTAACAGTAAAGTAAAAAAGAAAATCATTGAATCTCTGTTGCTCCAAGTCTTCACAAAGAAGCCAGACCCATGTGACTTGGGTTCATATTGTAGACCATACGATTATCATATTTTGTAGAGCGTCCATTATTGCAACCGTCAGTAAATGTTTCAACTGGGCCACCGGGACTTTATTTTCAGAGCAATCGATCTCAACAGGCTTCATACTTCACGAGAGGAACAGCACTGTTTTTCAAAACAGCAGATGTAGATCAAAGACATCAACTATCCCTAGACACACCCAACAGGAGTAATAGGGCTATATGCGTGAAGAGTGCAAAACCCCAAAAAAAAACAAAACAACCGCAAACAAACAAATAACATCTGATATTTAAAAATTACATGTATATTTAAATGCTTTACCAACAAGACTAGAAGCAAAACCGCACCAGGGTATACAAACTCGTCGATTTCCCAGTGCTCACTGTGCTTTGCGAGGTGTGAGTGATCCGAAATCGCCCGAGTGACACGGGTGAAAAGACACTACATTGCATTCGATTTGCAGAAAGTGGACAATTGTCCCGTGTTGAAAGACGTTGATAATAATACAACTGAAGTGTTACCAACGCCTGAACTATGACCTTGTTACTAACTCAGCGAGCCCCAGAGCTCAAGTGTGTGGTGGTAGGGGACGACTCGGTGGGGAAGACCAGCATGCTGATGGGCTATGCCACCAACAGGTACCCGACGCAGTACGTGCCCTCTGTCTTTGACAATTATGCAGGTAAGTTCGAGCACCTGGCCTGTCTGATTCGGTACTTTTTGTAGTTGATTTCAGGGGACGCTTCTCCTCACAGTCCTGCTTCTACCTCTTGTCTTCTTGTCTTTTCCCTTGTTTTTTTTGTGTGGCTGTTCGTTGTTGTGTTTTTTTTACTACCTCCTTTGTTTTGTTTTTGTCACCCCCCCCCCTGTCTGTCTGTCTGTCTGTCTGTCTCTCAATCCTCTCTCCAGGTCCCCTTTGTCACATTCCGCCTCTAACTCCCCTTTCCTTTCTCTCTCTCTCTCTCTCTCTCTCTCTCTCTCTCTCTCTCTCTCTCTCTCTCTCTCTCTCTCTCTCTCTCTCTCTCTCTCTTTCACTTATCTC